CCCCAAAACCCCAAAACCCCAAAACCCCAAAACCCCATTAGATAAGTTCTGGATTATTTATGAAATAATGAAGATTAATATTGTTTCAAATTATAGTTTAAGTTATATAATTAATAGATGACTAGATTAATACTTATCATTCGTGATAGGAATTATTAATGCTAATATTTTTATTTCTTTGAGATTTTCTGGAGTATCTATGCTTTTTAATAGTGACGCCTTATGTATCTTAATAATTAGTCTCTTTTGATATGTGATTGCTATTTGAAATAACACTGAAGTCCCTATCTTGTTAAAAGTTTAAAGTGATTTTTTATACCACTCCAATAGCAAATGGGTTTTCACTAAATGACTCATCTTCATCGAAATCAAGCAACTAAGGACTATGATCCAGATTTATTTGGTGATTAGAGTTACTAGAATACTTTCTGTTGCTTATTACTTTATTTCTTCTTAAAAGGCCATACCAAAAGCTTAGTAGTAAAGCAGAAACCGGAACAAACTCAGCTACTGTAAAATTCACACTCCAAAATGTTGGAGATATCCAATTATCTTTTTATTCACTCTCATTAAAAAATTCGTCTATAAAATCATCTAAGTATACCCTGTAAGCTCCAAATGCTAACTTGCTTATCATAGCTACAATCAAAATTATAATCATTGGTAGGATCATCTTCCTCTCAGAATAGTAAAACTGAGGGTAAAATTTCTTTAGTACAGTGATCAGGTTACGAGTTACAATACATAGCCCAATCAAACCAAGACCATATAGGACAATCAGAAAAATGGCATAAGAAAAATCATAATGTGATCCGCTGAAAATCAATATATAATTAATAGCAATGAAATATGCTTACTACTGGGTGTCGTGAAAGGTTATCATGAGAATACAGATAATAGCGCTAACAATAAAAATGAACAGATTAACGAATCTGGTCCATCTATTGACCTGCTTTGTCTTTGACTGATATAGAGATAAATCTCTCAAAGCTTAAGTCTGTGCCATTATTTAGAAACTCATCCTAAATAAATTAATCAGGATTGTGAGATAATTACCATTTCGAAAATGTAAGAACGAATGCCATCATAAAAAAGGTATTGTTAAAAATGAGGATAATGTAATAGATGTAACTGTTTTAAGAGTGAATATCTTCAATGGTGTATAAGTAAAAAATTATATATATCTCCTTTGCTAATGAGCACAGCAAGGTATATAAAATTGTCTGAAGCATGAACACATCAGAAAATTTCAGTAATTTGTACAATCAATAGAATAAATTGATGGATAGGAATATCAATAGTGTGTTAAAACCTAGTAAAACAAACATTGTTAGCCTGATTTTAGAATAGGGTTCTATGTCATTGCTATCATCTTAAACTGAGGTTGTCTTGTTGTCGCTAATCAGAAAATTATAATCCATTTCGATCATATTATAAAAATATCATAATTATTAAATCTTAACATTAATGATCACTTATCTATCTTTCTAATATAACACCATGACGGGGTTTTGGGGTTTTGGGG